AATGTGATCTTACATACGTGGTAGGAATGTAGCCGGTATTTATTTGGTGCCTGGGAAAGTGTCAGTTGTTGTGCAATGTTCTGTGTGCCCCTGAAAGGCTCTTCTGCAATTTTATCCTATTGTTAATATATTCTAAGATAAGAATATAATAACAATTACACGCAGTCAGGAATAAAAATTTAAAAAATATTCTGTCCAAAATTTCAATATTTCTCTTGTACTTTCCAAGTGAGCCCCTATTACCCTTTAAAAGGAATGACGCCAACTTTGAATCATCCTGTATACTAGATCAAAATTTATTTTGAGCACTCTGTAAAATTAAATAACGCCGTCGAGTACAGGGTGTTTTATAAAAAAAACTACCTGTACTGTTTGAGACCAATATCGTAGACATGATATTCTATTTTTTTAAATGAAACATTTTTGCAAGTTCTTCAAAAATTTGGAAATGTACTCCAAAGTAAAATCGAATAGTTGCCGTGTCGTATAACCGGAATAACCCAGTATATATAGGGTGGTTTAAAATGATCATCCCTTACAGTGTTTGCGGGATACAGCATTTTCAAAGGGCAGGCCATCGGCATCTGAACCTGTTCCAAGCCACCTACTATGTGGTGGTAACCTTCTCCACAGTAGGCTACGGGGATTTTGTTCCCGACATCTGGCCTTCTCAGCTTTACATGGTCATCATGATTTGTGTGGCTCTTATAGTGTTGCCCACGCAGGTAAATTGCCACTGTTTGAACATGAACATTCAGGTAAACTTCGAACTTGCGGTGGTTGCTTCCAGTTTGAGCAGTTGGCCTTTACGTGGATGGAAAGGCAAAAACTGGGCGGTTCCTATTCGTCGCATCGAGCTCAGTCGGAGAAACACGTGGTGGTTTGCAGCACGAACCTGCATGCGGACACCATAATGGATTTCCTGAATGAATTCTATGCACATCCACTGTTGCAGGACTACTACGTAGTCCTGCTGTCGCCCATGGAGCTGGACACGACCATGCGGATGATCCTGCAGGTGCCGATTTGGGCGCAAAGAGTGATCTACATCCAGGGCTCCTGCTTGAAGGACGGCGACCTGGTGAGGGCCCGCATGAACGAGGCTGAAGCATGCTTCATTCTGGCGGCGCGCAATTATGCTGATAAAACTGCAGCGGCAAGTTCAGCCCATGCTAATTCGAACGTCCAAGTAAACCCCAAGCCGTGATTTTCAGGATGAGCACACGATATTGAGGAGCTGGGCGGTGAAGGACTTTGCGCCGAATGTGGCTCAATACGTGCAGATTTTCCGGCCGGAAAATAAGCTGCATGTGAAATTTGCGGAATTCGTCGTGTGCGAAGATGAGTTCAAGTACGCCCTTTTGGCCAACAATTGCACTTGCCCGGGCGCGTCCACTTTAGTCACACTGTTGTTGCACACCTCAAGGGGCCAGTGAGTTTTGTCGCAATTTTTTCACTTCCAAAGCCAATTGAAATGTTCGCGTTCCAGAGAGGGCCAGCAGTCGCAGGAGGAATGGCACCGACTTTACGGCAAATGTTCAGGCAACGAAATCTACCACATCATTCTAGGGGACAGCAGATTCTTTGGCGAATATGAAGGCAAAAGCTTCACCTATGCCAGCTTCCATTCACACCGCAAGTAAGTCCAATTTGCACCTATGGAGCTAATAATAGTCTTTTCCGAACTGGCTCCCTTCCATTCATTCAAGTTAATTGTTTACTTTAGTTATATGTGTTTCTTCATATAAGAGCACTTCTTTTTCCGTATTTCCTTTCTTCACTTGTATCGACAATTTTTTTAAATTGCCAAAGTTGTTTCTTATTCAGGATTTAACGAAGTGAACACTTTTGTATACATTTTCTAGGACGTCTGTTTTATTAGTGGAAAAATTTAGATTTTCAGTCGTCATCAGCTAATTTTCAAGAATTTTTCAAGTTCTCTTCGCTTTTCGCGAATTTTTCCGTGGGTCAATTGTTCATAAATTTGCAAAGCTAGCGAATCGCTTTTATGTCACATTTGCAGGACAGAGTCTGCTTTTTAACTGGGAAACGTTTMGATTCTGAGTCATCCTCAGACATTTTTCTAAATTGTGTTTCAATTTTGCGTATGTTTATGTTAACCGSAGTTTAAGWGTTTTTTTCCCGAAACCGATTCAGCCAAGGMKTAAATGGCGCCTCTACTTCYGTCGRCCYGTWTARTAAGTGGCAAAAGCTTCGATTTCAGTCATYATCGGRCAATTTTCAAAAATTTTTCAAAKTTMTTTTTGCTTTTCGCGAAYTTTTCCGTGGGTCAATTGCTCAKAAATTTGCAAAGCKAGCGAATCGCTTCTATGTCACATTTGTATTTTATGTCAYATTTGCAGGACAGAGYCTGCTTTTTAACTRGGAAACGTTTCGATTTTGAGTCATCCTCAGACATTTTTCTAAATTTTGTTTCAATTTTGCGTATGTTTATGTTAACCGGAGTTTAAGAGTTTTTTTCCCGAAACCGATTCAGTCAAGRAGTGACTGGCGCCYCTACTTCTGTCGGCCCGTTTAGTAAGTGGCAAAAGCTTCGATTTCAGTCATCATCAGGCAATTTTCAAAAAAAAGTTTTTTTTGCTTTCGCAAATTTCTTCGTGGGTCAATTGCTCATAAGTTTGCAAAGCTAGCGAATCGCTTTTATGTCACATTTGCAGGACAGAGTCTGCTTTTTAACTGGAAAGCGTTTCGATTTTGAGTCATCCTCAACCATTTTTCTTAATTTTGTTTCAATTTTGCGTATGTTTATGTTAACCGCAGTTTAACTATTAAGTCAAGGAGTGACTGGCTTATCTACTTCCGTCGGCCTGTTTAGTAAGTCTCGAAAGCTCTGATTYCAGTCATCATCAGGCAATTTTCAAGAATTTTTCAAAGTTCTCTTTGGTTTTCGCGCATTTTTCCGTGGGTCGTCAATTGCTCAGGAACTTGCAAAGCTAGCGGTCGCTTTTATGTCATGTTTGCAGGACAGAGCCTGTTTTTTAACTGGGAACCGTTTCGATTTTGAGTCATCCTAAGACATTTTTCTAAATTTTGTTTCAATTTTGCGTATGTTTACGTTGACCGGTGTTTAACAGTTAATCTTTTCAGAAATCAGTTAACTTAAAAAGTTCCTTTTTGTTTGGGCATAGCCCGTTAAATAAGTGGCAAAAGTTTCGATTTTCAGTCATCATCAGTCTGCTTTCAAGGTTTTTTGAAATGTTGTGCTTTTTTTATCAGCGCAAAGTTTGGCTTTGATTTTCTTGAAAATCTGTGAAGTTGAAGAATGATTTTTGGGTGCATTTGACAGGATAAAGTGCGTTCTATAATGCCAACTATGCACTTTTCCCTGATTTATTGGCCAGTAAATTGGGCCAACTATTAAGGGTCGCCAGATACGAGCGCAAAGCGAGAAATCGAGCTGCTATTGAGCTTGTTGAAAATTATTGCAGATTGCGAAAATTTTCGGGAAGTTTTTGGAATTATTTGTTGTGACTGCGCAAAGAAAATAGTCGCTTTTTTTGAAGGCATGGGCAAATAATTTATTTTGAGAACAATGCTCAAGTGTACCTACAGCCGATGACTGCCAAGAACATGGCCTTCAATAAGTGGCCCACTTTATTGGCCAATAAATCGGGGGAAAGTGTGTAACGTTATGTAAGGTTTCGATTTGACCCATGCTGGGCAATTTTATAGAAACCTTTGATGTTTAAAGTTGCTCTTGCAGGCCTAAATTTGCCACTTATTTTGCCACAAACTAGCAATTGTCCATCCATTCACAGGTTTTCTGGTTGGTTGTAGGTATGGTGTGGCTTTGATTGGAGTTCGGCCGGCTGAACTACCCGAGTTCTACGAAGACACGATTCTGCTCAACCCAGGGCCGCGTCACATAATGAAGAAGAGCGACACCTGCTACTACATGAGCATCACCAAGGAGGAGAACTCCGCCTTCAGCGTGTCAAATACGAATGCAAACAGCCACGCGGTCACTGAACCGACCACCGGCTCGGCCACCTCCAAAGACGAAGGAAAATCGCTGGGAATTCATTTTAAAGATGGTACCTCACCTCCTCAACTTATACTGCAAGTGCCTACATGTGTCAGTGAGTGTCGGTATCACAGCATGCTTTGCCCTCAAAGTTTTTCCGTTTGTTTAATTGACCCCAAGAAAGGGTAATTGTCTAGGTGATCAGGCCCTCACGTGCACTGTTAACAGTACTCTCGCCAAGAAATTCGTTTTATCAGCAACTTTTCTTGGTAGTGTTTTTGTAACTGACTACCTATTCTTTTGTTGTCTATAAGTTATAGTAAACCGCAAACACACCGGCCTGATCATCTAGATAATGACGCAAGAAAAGCGCCAACTTCCATGTTCCTTGCTAGTTTTCGCTTAACTTTGTGGCTTTCATGCACGCTTTTGCAATGGAAAGTCCACTTTGTGCAAAAATGTTATTGACATCGACAATTTACTGAGCGTGTCGCCTACCAATTTGGATTATTGTTTCACGTTACCGTCATCATTATTCTAATGGCCTCAATGGGAAATAATCTATTTGCCTCCCATACTGTATAATGCGTTATTATTGTCATACGCTTGTCAGGGCTTAATTAATGGCGCGTCCCTGCAGGAATGCTGGAAATTTCCAAACCAATTAAATTTAGCTTAATCAAGCCAATGAGGGAAATTTTCATTAGAGCGGGTTATTGTTTTGAGGCAACGGCTGCCATTTCATCCTCATCGAGTATGTGAATGCTTTTGCTCTCTGTCCGAACGCAAAAGTTTCGCAGGTATTTCAGACGATTTTCACGCATTTTCAGCAAACGCCGCAATGAGCGATTCGAAGCAATGCTTAAAAGAGTCCAGCGGCTCGATTTCCGTGGATATTTCAGTGACAGGAAATCATCTGGAAATCCCCCGGGACAATACAAATTTACTCTGTCCAGAAGCAATAAATCAAAGGCGGAACTCCAGGCGGCCCAGCATTCTGCCGGTGAGAGGCAAAAACTCCCAACCGTGTCTACGCGATTTATATACTTGCCTGTGCCACTTTATCGTCATGGATTACTATTAGTTTCCCCGTTATCTAACGAGGATTGAAGCTCATCTGTCTCTGTCTTCCCCAACACGTTTGCTATCTGTGATTAGTCGCATGTATCGGAAGATGAGTCCATGACGATAAAACTGCAGGCAAGGAGTTGGGATTTTGATGATTTTTCTTTTTGAAGGTTCCGGATATGTTCACTGGGAGCACATTGAACATCTGCCATCAGGACGTGGAGCCTGATGAAGGTGACGAAAGTGAGGACGAACTGGAGGACGACGTCCCCTGGAGGTCGCCTAGCGAAAAAATCGCGTAAGTAATTATCTATTAGTGTTGTTTATCTACTGCCAACCATTTACTTGGAGGTGTCTTTTTGGCGCCTTCAAGCCAAAAAACGCATGTTGATTATATTTATTTTTCGTTAGCACGTTAAAGCCAACGACAATGTTTATGAAAAAATGAGTTTACTCCTCCAACTTTGTCTCTGTGTCATTTTACTTTTCCATGTTTGTCACCGCACCATTTCTCATCGCCTGCTTTGTTCCCTGATTTTCTTATAGTTTGGCACTGTCTAGCACCCGATAAACGGTAACGGGAATTCAAGCAGTCAAAAATGTTGTGATTTTGTCCTGAATTCTCGACACGTTTCCTCTCTAGACAAATATTTCTCTTTATCGTCACTCTGTCCGACCCTTGCACTATTCCTAGGTCTAGTCCTTCTGACGATTCTTTGGACCTCGACAGACCTGCATGGCATGATGAATGTGTTAGGTAAGTCCCCTTTTCTTTTCAATTGCCGTTCTTCCACCTCGTCTGAACTAGTCGGCATGTTTTTTTGTATATAGGCGAGACCAACCACCAATTTGCCTTAATAGTTTACAGAAAAACGGCCCTTCTTTGCACACAATTCGCCGACTAAAATCAAATTTGCTTTCCATTGGTGCAGGTAAACTTGCCCCGAGCAGCATCTTGTTGTTGCCCTGGAAACTTTGACTGTATAGCGTGTTCCGTAAGAACACAGAAGGGTACTGCGATATTTTCTGGATCGAAATGAGACGGTCGCGACTAACTTTTGTAAGAAAAATGCTAATGATGGTTAAAGTTCTTCAATAAAAATAAGTTTTTTGAAAAATTGAAAGAATGAATAGATTATTTTTAATGAAACTTGCTCTGAACTTTTTTCTCTGCAGAACTGTGTGATTTTAGTGAAGCAAAGGAGTTCATCCGCTTGCGGCAAGTGAAGAATTTTTTAGTGTCTTGTAGTTTTTGCACAAAAAATATTTCTATTCTGTTACTAACTGGATCAAGCTCTGTTTCAGACATTTTACATTAACAAAACTTCAATCATTTTTTTCCTAATATCGGGCAGTGTTCAGATGGATTTTCATGAAAGCTTCTGTGGATTTGTTCCTACGGCAAGGCCCAATTTTTTGCTAAAAACTCGGTTCTTTTCGTGTGGTTTCTTATGAACGCGATTTGGACAAAAACGGTTCCAAAATCCAATCATTTGTTGCGCAAAAATTAAGAATACTACAAGATTTTGCAAAGGGCCCAAAAATGTTCAAAAAAGATTAGTGCTTCTACTCAAAAAAAATCAATTGATTCCAGCTCCGAAAAACAAATCTCTGGCAATTTGTACCAAGCACTCAAGAATTCATAACTTGCCCAAAGCAGACAAACGTCTTAAATAGAAACAAAACTTGCAGATCTTTGACATCAATAGTGAACAAGCCAGATTTGCAGCAAGAAACTTTTTCTTACTAAAACACAGGTCAGATCGTCTTCTTTTCGGACAAAGAATGTGGCAATGCCCTTTTGACCATGTGCTTACCGGACACTCAGTATAAGCAAAAAAATGTCCACAGACTGTCTGCACCAGGCTCAGTTTTCCCGATTAGTAGTTGCCAAGAGTTAAGTTTGACTATTTTTTCTGCAGCATTGTCAAAGGGTTTCCCCCAGTGTCGCCCTACATTGGAGTGAGCCCGACTCTGTGCTATTTGTTAAAAGAGAAAAAGCCCCTCTGCTGCCTGCAGCTCGCTCAAGTTTGCGAACACTGCAATTACCGGTAAGAATTTGCTCATTAGCGGTGAAATTTTTCGAGGAAACGGAAAATGCTGCTGGATTAAAACCGATTTTTGGAAGGTGAGGTGTTTTGCTTAAATGTTGCAGCAACGCCCGAGAATATCAATGGCAAAACAAGACGATCATCTTGGCGGCCGATTTTGCCTCTAACGGCATCTACAACTTTATAATACCGTTAAGGGCGCATTTTCGCCCGAAAACCTCCCTGAACCCGATAATTCTCCTGTTGGAGCGCCGCCCCGACATCGCGTTCCTGGACTCTATATCTTACTTTCCGCTGATTTATTGGATGTTGGGATCAATCGATTGGTAATCTTGATTTTGCCACCCTCGAAATAACCGTCTTAACGTCGTGATCGATTTGCAGTTTGGACGATCTACTGCGAGCAGGAATTTCGCTGGCGGAAAACGTCGTTGTGGTGAATAAGGAGCTGTCGAACTCGGCGGAAGAAGACTCTTTGTCCGATTGCAACACCATTGTGGCCGTTCAAACGATGTTCAAGTAACTAGTTGAGGACTTTTCCTGGACTTGGGTGTATCTAGTTTGGTTTTCCAGGTTTTTCCCCAGCATCAAAAGCATCACTGAACTGTCCCAGTCGAGCAACATGAGGTTTATGCAGTTTAGGGCGCACGACAAGTACGCTCTACATCTATCCAAAATGGAGAAAGTAAGCTAGTTGTTCTGGTTAAACGTGCACTTTATCGACGTGGATTTACTATTTGTTATGCTTAGGCGGGTGGAACGAGGACGCCAACAGGGCGACCCGCTCTGTCTGCATCAAGCATTGCATTTGATGCGACCTAGTCGGTCCACGGCGATAAAGGGGCAGGCAGGAACTTGCCTCTAGCCAGGATTGTTTGTAAATAATTGCAGAGGGAAAAGGAGCGAGGCTCGCACATCAGCTACATGTTCCGACTGCCCTTCGCTGCTGGCAGCGTCTTTAGCGCCAGCATGCTAGACACATTGCTTTACCAGGCGTTCGTCAAAGACTATGTGATTACGTTTGTTCGGCTGCTTCTGGGCATCGATCAGGCCCCAGGCTCCGGGTTTTTAACATCAGTAAGTCTTTCCCGCTCCGAATAAGCCCCCGTCTAAACTCCTTTTCAGATGCGGATAGGCAAAGACGATATGTGGATAAGAACCTACGGCCGTTTATACCAAAAGCTGTGCTCCACGACATGTGAAATTCCCATCGGGATCTACAGGACGCAAGACACTTCTCTGACTGATACATCACATGTGAGTATGCCTTCGTCAACTTGGTCGAGCTGCGTACGTGTGCCATCGGTGAGTAACTTATTCGAGAGTAATTTATTTGTTCTGTGTGTGGAAACGCCGTTTAAAATCAATTGAAGCGTTGCTCGAACTCAAAATTCGCGAAGTTCTGAGGAGACACTACACCTGACACTTTTTATTCAGTGTGCATTAAAGCTGTAACATTAAAGCTGTGCATTAAAACTGTTAAAACAATTTTCCAGTTCTTCACATAATTTGGCTTATGTGATACCGCAATTCTATCTCTTTTGCTTCGATTTTCAGTGTTCATTGATAATGACTGTTACACCGATTGCACACGTATGGTTACAATTTACTACACTTTTATATTGTTAAATCCATCGGGATAATCATCTAGTACTGATGCGAAATTCGATGGCATGTTAATGGTAAAACCGGCACTCGTGCAATTAGTCCAATCCCAATCGCTCCAGCGCCTCGATTAACACGGGCGAAAACGGGTCAAGACTGTTTGCACCAGTGATTCGAAACGTTCATTGAAGTACTTTTACCAAGCGGACAACTTTATGATTTTTATAGAGCATTCACTCATCTTGGCACCTTTCACTTAACCAGCCAAACACCACATACAAGCATGCTTTAATTGAACTTTCAATCAGTACACTCCACATAATTGAGCACACTCAGGTAAGGTGATCAGCTTTGTCAAGTTCTAGTAGGGCAAAAGCATGAATTTAGCCGTAGGGATTGTCACCAGCTTCATCTTCAGACACATGATGGTTTTACATAGTTAGAGCAGCGATAATGTAAATTGGTTGATTGAGTCAAATGAAATGAAACGAAACAAATCTAGTCTAGTCTATAATCTAGAGGCCTGTTGTAGTGCACGTAATAGTTGCCCATTTATGATACTAGCTCGACGAGGACTTGGGCCCGGATCGAGTGGGGGTAACCTATCGACCCAAAGAAGGAACCAACTGTCTTGGATGCGCCAACAGGCGCAGCTCAATGGTAAGTGTAGTGGCTCAATTTAGGCTTTCAACACAAAAAAAATCCAGATTGCTTTCTTCAAAAGTTGTCTTCTGAAGGAATCTGAAGGGGTCGTTTTGAGTAAATTCACGGGTTTCCTTTCACTGTATATACAGCTTTTGCTGCGTGGAAAACTTTGGCTTCTCTGAAACTGAGTTAGGAACTGAACAAGTCCCAATTAGCGCATGTTTTTCGCAATATTTTCTGGATGAATTAGGAAGCATTTTGCCCATCCACTATACAACGCCATGTGAAAAGAAACTTGCCACCTGAAGCAACATCGGAGCTCGTAAACAACCGACCGAATTATCACTGTTTTAGTATTCAATAAACATGCAGGACGAGGCAAAAGACAACCACAACCAGCAAATTGAGCGCGCGGAAATCGCCAATCTGGTCCGGTCGCGGATGGAGAGCTTGAATCTGCCCACAATCGATTACAATGATGTCAGCGAAAAGCGCAGCAGTCTCTCATATGTGATCATCAATCCGAGCTGCGATCTGAAGCTGGAGGAGGGCGATATCATGTGAGTGGATCAAGCGGTGTTTTGGAGGCGGGTTGAGTGCGTTTTTTTGCAGATATCTAGTGCGGCCCAGTCCGTTTTCCGCACAGAAAACCTTCGAAAGACACAACAGTCGTCGCAAGTCCAACATCAGCTTCTGTTCGCAAAATCTGCTGCAGCAGATGGGGAGCAGCACGCAGCCGGGCGGAAGCCGGCGGGGCTCGGGATTGGGGCTGAGCGGCTACCAAGCGCCCCGACCTCCGCCATTGGTCACCACCAAATCAAACTCCTTGTCTTTACCGGACAGCCCCACGGTCTCCACCTACCAAAGAGGGCGCTCGAATTCGCTTCGAATCATCGACGACATTCTTTTGCGAAGGTAACCGGAGAGGATTATTTTTATATTTTCATCTTTCTGTCAGCTCTAGTGGTCATTACCGGATAGAGGCTTAAAAGACTCACATTTTTATACTGAACATTATTTTAGGAATGTTCGTAGGTTTCTCGCAAAATCAAAAAATTCGAAATCAATGCGGGTGTTGAAAACCGCTCACAGACTTTGGCTCATATTTAGCGAACCAGTTGAGCTGCAAAGCTCTCGTTGTCAGTACCGAATAGAGGCTTAAAGTACGCACGTTTTTGTGTGAAACATTATTTTTCGAATGCTTCTGGTTTTCACGCAAACTGAAAAAATTGGAAAAAAATGCGCGTGCTGAAAACCGCTTTTAGTTCTTCGTTCATATTTAACGAAGCGGTTGAGCTGCAAGACTTTAGTTGTCGTTACCGAATAGAGGCTGAAAGTAGGCACTTTTTTGTATCAAACATTATTTTCTGAACAAATCTGGTTTTCACGTCAAATAAAAAAAATTGAACAAAAAACGCCGATGTTGAAAACCGCTCACAGATTTTGGCTCATATTTAGCGAATCAGTTGAGCTGCAAAGCTCTCGTTGTCAGTACCGAATAGAGGCTTAAAGTACGCACGTTTTTGTATGAAACATTATTTTTCGAATGCTTCTGGTTTTCACGCAAAATGAAAAAATTGGAAAAAAATGCGCGTGCTGAAAACCGCTCTTTTTCAAAAAACTTTTTTTGATGCCAAATGTCAATTTAGGAACGTTTTTTGGTTTTCACGCAAAATGAAAAAGTTTAAAAATAAAATGGGTTTTGTAAATGTGATACTGCGAGCGCGTAAAATAGACGGAAGCGGCAACGCTGGTCATACGACCGTAGCACAGATCACAGAGTAACCTCTGTGATCTGTGGGCCGTAGAACATTCCAGTCAATGTCTAGTGACGTTTCTAGACTTTTTAGAGAATTCGCCGGATTTTTAAAAGCTGATTTAAGCAGATATTGAATTGGCGAACTGAAAAGTCCATAAATCGAAGTCCGGTTGTGTTAATTCAAATTGTGTAAACGTTTTCGCGTGCAGTACGGATTTCTCGACTCTTTCAAACGCCCAAAATGGTAACAGTATTTTGGTGTTTCACTACTCTATCCGTGTCTTTGTTAAGGTGCATGATTGGGGTTTAATTGCAGATCGAACTCCCTCAGGCAGGGCCTGCCGAACATCGGCAACCCGAAGAGGAAAAGCAGCCTGGAGGATATTGGGCTTTCGCACTTTTCCACCAAGTTCCAAAACCCCATCAAAATCGCCCTGAACGACAGCATCGGCCTGGAAGTTACTCCTCCCGAGGAGGACAGCCCTCCCATTATGTCCAGCAATACAGCCATGGTGGTCAATCCTGTTTCCATTTTTGGCGGCCCCCCGATTCATACAGCCAGCACTTTGAGCCTGCAGTCGATCGGAGCGATGCC